TCTTCAACCTCAGTACTGGAAAGGCGGCTCCATCGATCTGCGTTGAACGTGACCTAGTTCCTAATTTCTGAACCTTTCTTGTCTTTATTCACCTTTCTTAAGCTAAAGAGCATAGCTGATAACTGGTATTCAAACATCCGTCGACACTAAAATCAGATACTACCCCCTCCCTCTCACAATTGAAACATCTAAAGCAATAGCAAAATATGTCAGAAAACGTTCACAATCATATCATAATTTATCGAGCAAAAATTTACTATAAAAAGTTCCATTTCAGATTTGTCGACATGTGTTTTTCGATGTTTTGCTTTTGAACCTTTTCCTCTCCCCCTCTCTCTGCCTCCTCTTCCCATTGTACCAACCGAGAGCTGAGACCAATGTTGTGTTCAGAATAGATTTTATGGTCCCCACCACAAAATTCCTACAAATCAAAAGATTCTCTAGATATGTCCAATTTTTCGAAAAGCTCACATAGATGTCTCCTTTTTTAACGTGTGTCTGCACTGTTCAGTCTTTCACAATATAAGACCCTTGCCGAATATATCCCGGTTAAAAACGCTCAGGATGCCTAACGTTAGTTCTTTCTTCGAAAGGAGGCAGTTTGATACTTTTTTCGAAACTTTATGCAGTAAAACAACGTGGACTTGAATATCATTTACAAATTCTTGAGGGGATAATAGTAACACCAAAGTTTATGGGACTCTTTGAAACCTTTTCTAACTGACCTCACTCATTGAACAGTAATATTTATTAGCAAGGGTGATCAACAACCAACTGCCTTACATGAAAAATGATTCATTATTCATTTACGAGAAGCAAATGAGGTGAAATATAATTGATTTTTTGACGTCATTTGTTTCAAACGTGATCATGCATCTGCAATTCTGAAGAAGCAAAAATACGGTAACGAAACAATGAAATTGACAATTTCAATATTTGCAGACGTAGAATACATGAGAAGTTGAGTTATTGTAGCAGCTTGTAATGTTTTTTCATTAGGTATTTCATGTTTAGAAACTAATCCATTGCCTTTTGCCTCTACAATTGTTAAGCTATAAAAAATGTATGGTATACATTTTCAAGAATATCCTGAGATACAAATGGAGTTTTTTCAATGAGAATCCTGGGACTTATTTGGCAGCGGTCACAGCCGAATCCGCATTCGAAGCGAGTACAATCGAAGTGCCACCATCGGCGACAATCGTCTGACCGACGATGTACGATGATTGACTGCGATCGGCGAGAAAAGCGATCACACTGGCGATATCAGATGGTAAGCCAACTTTGCCACAAGGTACAGCACCCGGCTTACTAGCGAATGTTTCGTAGAACTGGAAAGAGAAGAGAATTTTAGTGATTAAAGGGAAAATACTGAAATCACCTGTTTTGCAATCTCTTTAGAACTTAGCATGTTTTCTGCGAACTGTGTGATAACGACACCAGGGCTGAAAAATCACAGAGTGGGTAACGTGATTACATAAAATGAGTACTTGTGTATAAGACAGTGAACATCATCACGCAAATCCAGCGATTTGGCAATCTACCAGATGTCTAAAATTCAATACTGGCAGACTTTAACAGCATGTATAATTTTCGTAGGTTGAAAAAGTGCCCTATCTTCTGTATATTTAGAAATCTTTTATGATAGTTACGGACTGTGGGCAGAATCGTTAACTTTTTTATGGGGTTATGCTTTGGTTAAAATGCCATAGAAACGTGGGACTCTTTTTTCTCGGCCGACAACCACCCTTTTAAGGCTTGGCTTAAAAGGGTGGCTGCGATTGCTTGGAAAAATTGCGACTGCTGGCTTCTCACAGCCTACATGACCTTTTGGACATGCTGAGTCCGCTACTGCGTTTGAAAAGTTAGAAAAGTGCTTTTTTGGCGATCTTGGAGATTGCTGGAGGGGCAGGGTGAGCGATTCTCGCCAGCTGTATCGCAATTGACTGCCTGGTCAGATTAGCCAACTGCCGTCAAAATAAATAGGGTTATACTCTCCTGCAACCACTTTTGGCGGGAATTGCTGACCCGCTTGTCCAGCAATCTCCAAGGCTGTAAGATGCCGAAAAGCACATTTATTTGGTTTTTAAAGCACATTACAGGATTCAACTGGTCTAGAAGGCCATGTAGTTGTGGAAAGCCCGCAGTAGCGATTTTCCCGCTTCTTGCCTTTGACATTAGGCTTCTGCAAGGAACACTGCTTATTGTTAGTATGGTTGCATGAATACTGACGTACTTGATGTACTGCAGAACTTTTAATCCCTACGTAGCAGTGGGCAGCAAGATATTCTCCTGTTTATTCTTCGCGATTACAAATGGAGAGCTCTCAGGGTCTTGCGGAAGAAGGTTTTCTATTCATGCCTTCTCTGTACCGATCAGGGTCTTTCCCTTCATGCGTCTGTCGTTAGTGAGTGCTTACTAGTGGGTTGGAAATTATTGACTTCTTTTTATCAATGAGACTCGCTTTAGTGCGAACATATAAGAGTGCCAGTTGGTTGCAATAATATAACTGTCACCGCACTTCTCACTGTTGAATGGTATGTTAGCTTAGAGCTCATGTATGGTCTTTAATTCAAATAACTGAATTGATTAGGGTACATTTGAAATCAAAGCGGCTCCGAAAGCATATATTCCAAAATGTTTGGAGAGACATGCACTAATGAAACTATTATGCTGAAACCCACTGACGTATTATTTTCCCCACCGACATTGAGAATGCAGCAAAGGGATACTCTGGTTTGAGCGAATCGTAGCCAACCTGCGAAAGTTGTGATATATCTTTTTGACCAAAATTGCAAATGTCGTCTCTTCTTTTTCCTCCGAACAACTACCAACTTTTGAGACTCTACGGGACATATATCTCACGATAGCTTATTTATGGCAGTATCTCAATGGAACAAGCGTATTCGTGTATAAATGCTCCTATTACACGACTCTCAACACCAATTCCTAACCGACTTTGCTAAAATGTGCCTTTGAAAGAAGGCGCTATTGTTTGGTTTCCCCCTTAGAAACGCTTCAGACTGTGGCTATCGACAAAATTAAAGTTGGCGCACAATCACGTACTTTGATATCTTACAAAATGACTTGCTTATAAAGGATGAAGGAGAAAGGATTCGGCGTCTTCAAAACCCTCTGCGGGCATGCTCCGAATGCACTATAAGTGAATGAGTGCGAGCCTACTACAGTGATTTGCGGGGGCCAGCCGTTACCAAGTCAGTGCTTTT